CGGCACTACGCTTTGACATTTTAATAAAATAATAATACAACTATACACGTGACACGTTTGATGTTGATTATCGACAGTTACAGCGGCTGTGTGCGTATTGTATCGTAACTATATGTCAACTAACAAATTATCATTACACAATAAATATCGTCAATAATAAAATAGATAGGTACTACATACAGCCAGACATTTTATTGCATCAAACAAGTTTAAATATTCGATTAGATTAGATTAGCTTTTTGACGGCGAACGATGAAAACGGAAACGGCCGAAACGCTATCGGCAAAACAATACATTTTATCGGCTGCCGAAAATAGATATAATAGAAAATCCACCAGTCTACGGGGGGGGGGGCCATGGCCCCTTGGCCCCCCCCTTGGATCCGCGCCTGTCTCGCCGTACATTTTTAATCGAAACTCGATTGTGACGGTAACACTGAAATTCCCTTAATTTAATTTTGTATTTATTTTTATTAGTACTATTAATTTTTTTTTAAATTGTCATCATTTTTATTATACATTTTTATGTAATTACGTAAACTGAAAAAATACTAAAGGGGGGGGGGGGGTTGAACATCCAAACCCCCCCCATGTGTACGCCACTGGTAGTATGAATGTATGATTAAACTGTGGTTGCATATTGCTATGGATGCTACTTTCCCTCGTGTAGTAGGTATAACAATTATTAATTATTTTTAAAAAAATATGAGCGTTACCTATTTTGAAGATTTGAACTATGATTTAGTTTGTATATATAATAATATATATATTATTATTACCATTATTTATTATGAACAGAACACAAATTTATAAAAAATATTTTTAACAAATTCAAGTCTTAAAGTATTTTCATTTTCATATTACGTCATTTTCTTGTCTGAAACAACTTATTTTCCTATTGTTATTTTCTTTTTTCTAATAACCTTTTCGCTACACATAATGAGGAACCTTGAATTCAACATTCAAGTTTCTTGATAGAGTAAACATTTTTTCATTGACATTAATTTTAAGAAATAAGTAATAAAAATTGAAATTTGTTTTTATTCATTTCAATGTACCTATATTATCATATTATTTTACTAGCTTATTAACACTAATAATATTACCTACACGGCTACACCATTAACAGTCTTACCTACCGAAATTTTCCTACAGCAATATATTATTGTTGTAAGACCACTGGGTAGCGTACCTATTTACCTACGTATCTATTTCGACACCTCTATCTCTGCTCTAAATATAAGATCTATAGCCTTATAGGTGCCTAGACTTATTCTACTACATCTGTACATGCATTAAATACTTACGTGTATATTTATTATCCTCGGAAGTAGATGTTTTGTATTGATTCCACCTTCAATTGCAATCCCGAGCAATGGCTTGATTTTTTTAACAATTATACGAAGATTGCCTTGTTGGTCTAACATTATCTTTAAATTGAAACACAAAAAAATGAATCAAATATAAGTGGTTTTATAAATATGTTTTGAAAATTAATATTTCAAGATTAGGATGATTCACGTGAGAATTTAGACCTCGATTGATGTTGATATTACAATTAAATGCATTCACCAGTTTTTTTTTGTTATACTATTTGCTATATAATACTGTTTATACTACTTTAACATCTGATTAAAACTAATTTGTATATTATACTAATTATAAGTATATGAAATAATAAATACACACATTTATCAAACCTATAATTATTCTATTTATTATTTCAAAGAGTTTTAAAAACATAAATAGAAAAATGTGTAGGTATATTTAAAAAATAGGTATAGGTAATATGAGTGAGGCTTGGTGTGGCACGGTGATTGGCCACTTAAACTGTTAAAAAAATTTATAAAATTGTTAATAATTTAAATTCATACTTAAATTTATTAATTCATTTATTATAATAAACATGGAGATTGAGTAGAAAAAATTGATCAGCAAAAAAAAATAATACATATCATCGAAAAATCAAAGAATTCATCGCCCCATTCAGAATTTATGTAGGCCGTTTCATAAACATGGTCGGAATTGAATTTCTATTTTCATATCTTTTTTTGTTGTTATCAGTTATATCCTTTCGATTTAGAGATTTGGTGTACATAGTGTAATCATGGTGCCGGCGCGTCTTAATATCGAGCAACACATTTTAGTACTTACCCACTCAAAACGCATTATAATCTGCACGAAGAAACGGCAGTTCACGCTGCTTGTCACCTCAGCCAGGGTACGCTTATGCCAAATATTGTGTTTCATACTTAAATCGGACTCGGAGTATATATATAGAATACATAAATATTTTAATTAAGTTATCTATGGTCCATGTTTATGAAACATTCTACATTAGCCTTGTCCATACGCGGTATACTACTTTCAAAAATATAATGATTTGTTTTTGATCTATTATTACCTACTGCTTTTGAATTTATATAATTCCTCATTTCACATCCTATATTCTACATTACAAAATCCCACATAAGTTGAATATAAATATTATATATTACAATGTATAATATATGATTAATAAATCAGATTAAATCTTATTTACTATATTATATATTATTTGGATTTCCGAATTTCCGATTCATCCATCCCCATAAATAACCAATATCGGAATAATTTCATGTAAGCAGTACCTATACCTAAATATCTTAAATATAAAATAAATACGTTATACTAATATAATTTTATACTTTAGTTTTTAATAGTTCAAATTTAATATACCTATGTCAAATAATAGTTTAAATATATATTCAAAATTACCTGAGATTCGTTTTGTATATTATTTGAACATGATGATTCTATAAAACCACTTTCTCTCCGATAACTTCCGTCCTCATCCAGCAGTTCATTTTTACCATCATATGACCGCCCATGTTTGTTTGATAATTGCTTTAAAAATTTGATTTTGTTTCATTAATAATTATAATTTATTAAAATATCATTGCCTAGCCTTGTTAATGTTATAATAATTCGAGACGATCACGCATAAATTAATTATAAATCACTTTTTGTTCGTCTCGCTATTAAAACAAAAACAACATAAAATAACACTAAAGCTTGTGGCTCCTTCTATTTTTAATTACTGTCATAACAGAAATGTTGTATCATCATATCTCAAAAAACTAATATTGTTAAAAAAAAATTGGCAGTGTTAAACTTTTCTTTTATGTTATAGTTACAACTTGTCAACTTGGTGGTTTTTTTTTGGTTACACTCCAATTTATACATTTAAATCCAAGGATCGTTTCTGTTCCTACTTAGTATTACAAATTTGATTATTAATGGAGTAACAAGAATAAATATACATTTTTCTATACAATTTTATTTAGTTGCTTTGAGTTAAAAGATACCCATGTTTAATTACACACATTATCTATAATTGTACCATAAAGTATGTAATAAAAATGTCTCTACATAATATCATTGATTTTGATTATAAATACTAGTATAATCAATGATATTATACCTAAATTATCTTTATACGAATAAAAGACGCATTCGCTTTTTTTTTCCAGAATATTTGTTTATTCATCAAATTTTAGTAACTACTAGGTTATAATAATTATAGTTATAGTTATAATTACTGTACATTATTATTATTAATTGCCTAGTTCAAAATTGAAGTGAATACCTATAATTAAAACTACATACATTGAAATAAGTTAAATAAATTAAATTGGTATTTAATGGTTAAACATATTTTTAATTTCAGATGACAAAACTAAAAATGTGATGTGTAGATGTATAAATGTGAATAATAAATAATGAATCTATGGATTAAGTTAGTTTGTATTTGTATAAAACATACAATTATAGCAACAACTACTCATGCTTAATATAAGCACTGTTATATTTGTTAATTCTGAAGGTTTACTAAGCAAAAAAAATATCAAAAATAATCCTGAGATTTCAAAAACTAAATAAATAACCTCAAAATATTATACTAATATCATTACTTATTTACCTACTACCTACTACACAATATTACGATTATATATACAATTTAAATAATTATAATATATTTTTATTTATATAATGTTTGCAATTATTTGTAACTTTTAATCTTACAGGCAAAAATGTAAGATTTGATTTGAGGTTCTATTTATAAGGGCTGCAATAAAAAAGTATCAATATTTTGGTCTTTGACCTATGTTAGAGCAAAATGATACTTACTTCATGGACCCTGCTTATTTAAAATAAAAACCATATTAATATTAAGTTTAGAAAAGCCATATTTTATTAAGTACAAAATAAATATACCGATGATTAAGAAAAATATATATATTCGTGATAAAGTGATTAAATTAATAAAAGCCATTTCTGTATTTTAACTCTGAAGTGCACTTACAGGGTATTTACAAAAATTATTTACCTATGTCATTTTGGAATATGGTCTTAAGTAGCTGAAACACTAAAGGATTATAAGACATGCCGAATTTTTAATTTGAAGGTTTGTTATATGAAAAGTTTGTAAGGTATAGATAGATAAGGAATATAAATTGAAACTACAGTTCTTTAGAAGCTCTAAAATGAATTATAGATCAACTAAATAAAACATATAAACACAGAACAGTAAACAAGATAATATAAGGTAAAATTCTAGTTAAAGATGAAAATAGAAGACGGTGTACCAAAACTAAAGAAAACATATCTAACTACTTGGTTCACATACAAAAACTAAATGGAACTGAAACATCAACTGAAACTTACTAGAGAACTTCCATAGTACCAGGATTTCAATTTTTGGGTCCATCCCCCTAAGTGGGATCGCAGTCCCTCCAAGTATCCACTCTGAAAGCATCAGCAATGTTATTTGCGTAAAATTTAAAAAGTACCTATAATTAAGTAGCAATACAACTGTATGTAATTAATTTGCATATTTCATCGTTTATTCAAGTATTTTTTTTTTTTTTTGTCGAATTTGTGTACTAATTTATAAAAATTATATTTTTCAATCAAATTGAACTGTTATAAATAAAAATGAAAACGCTACTCAAGACCAATTTAACCAGTGAATGTATATAAATAACAACTGTTTTATTTTAACAAAGAAGGTGTGAATATATATAATGTATATAACTATGAGTTTTTGTTTTTTTTCCATCAGATTACTGAATGTTATATAATAATACTTTTCATTAATTTTAGGTGATAAAAAGTGAATCTAACTGATGAAAATAACGATATGTACTTCGTGTAAGTTGTTAATGTTGATAGGAGAGTATAGGGATACTTTAGGTACTGACAAATGCACTTCCACACAATACACAGTATAGTATTTACCTAATTAAAGCTAATCTATTTTTTTTTTTTTTTTAATCAACTAACTACCTACAATATTATATACTCGAGATTGTATGCACTATAACAAGATAACAACGAAGACTAAGAATTAAGAATAAAAAAATAAGGTATACCTAAGTAAATATCCAAATGACTAAATATTATTGATAGATTTATTATGTTATTACCTATTAAATATTATACAGTACAATAAAATAAATATACATCAAATGATGAAACATATTAAATAAAAATACATTTTTAGTTATTCCCTAATTAAAATTATTATTTAATTATTTTATAATTTATAGAAATATTACTTATTTAGCCATTTAGGTATACAATTTTTTTTATACATAATTTCATTTTTCAACTACTTATTTAAAAACAATTTTAGATCTATATTGAAAACAAAAAATTTTACTGTGGTCAAATAATTTATCATTAAATAATATTGCGCATTATAATATTGTATATGTGTTTCTTCTTAATATTTTAACGATGCACGATCAACTAGTGACATTTTCATAATTTATAATAATTATTAATGATTTAAATTGTTTTAAGTACCCAGGTGATACCCAATTGAGCACAGCTATTTTCGGCTGACCTTTTAACTACCCAGTTAAGTACAAAATTAAACATTATTATTTTGAAGTTTCCAACAACTATTGTTTTAACTATTGATATTTCAATATTAGATACATGAGTGGTTGATTTCAAAAAATATTGAAGAGAAGATTTAAATACATAAAAAAAGTGTTCCAAATTTACTACACAGTAATATCATACCCACCTATTATTCACAACTTTAACATTTAATCATACATGATATAGAACCTACTACATTTGTAAAATCTAATACATACACATAAATTATAAATTATAAATGTACGTGATAAACCACAAACATTGGAAATTAATACAGTGGGCCATGAGTCATCCAACTTTACAGTAAAACTTTATAATATTAGTTAAAGACAAAAATTAAATTTTTCTTATCCATTATAATTCAGGAGATTTTAAAAATAGTTATGCAAAATAAAAAAAGGTCATAAATACTAGGAATAATAAATATTAGGATTTAGAAGTTAAGTCAAAAATATTACATTAAGGTACACTAACTAAAAAAAACTCCAAGGTTTTACAAGAAGATTTACACAATTTTATTATTTAATATTTTTAAACAGTTTGTTATGTTATAACATAATATTTACCATTGGTAAATGACCAAGTTAGTATTTAATTTATTTCAGAAAATATGTCTTTAAAAAAAATTTAATAATCTTAGAAAATAATGTTATGATCGATCATGTTGTTTAAAATAATATCATAAAAGCCAAGACAAGACCATAAAGAATTGTCCGATCGCCTCGGCACAGACGCATCGTGCCCAGTGTCTTATTATTATTACTAAATAATGTATTTAATAGCAATAATAAATCATGGCATTCGAAAAAAATGACTGAATAAACTATCTGATATAGATTTTTGTATATTGACTTTTCGAAATCAAAGGGCTTATAAAAATAATTTGAAATTTTCAAAATATATTCAATATTCTTATTAAAAATATATTATGATTTAAGCAACCTTGTATTAAAATCTCAAGTATTAAGAAATCACAAAGTGAATTATAAATAAACAAATATTTAAGCTAGATGATTTTTCTACGTTTTAAAGTTAGAAAAAAATATCCTCTGACCAACGAAAGAATGGCACTTATTAAAAATTTTGCAATTATTGCACATATATAAACGTAAATCATTTATCATGCACCACACTACCGTAATTTTAGCTTGTAGGGGGAAAGAGTTTTGGCTTCTGATTTAACTGGAAATAAAAATTATCTTATAGCTTGATTTTAAATTAAAATAATATACGATAACGAGTCGCGTATATAAAAAAAAAATATAATTTTATATTTACATATGACACATCATGGAAATAAGAGAAGAATTTATTGTATTTTTATCCCTATATTATATGGACCAACGATGACGCTGAACATAGTTCCTGTAATTAGTTCCAACGGTGAAAAAACACAGACGAGTTAAGCGTGAAATTCGTGGTGTTATCCAAACAAAATATTATGAATGTGGTCTTTTTTTGGGGGAGCGGGGAGAGAGGTGCTTGTCCGTTTTGCAATAGATCGTTTTCACCAAAAAACGCTTCACGACTAACGTTTGTTACTGACTTTTTTTATAATACTAAAATATATATTGGCGTGTTTTATGTGCATGAGCATCATATTAAATATTAATATTAAGGTTAACACTGCATACATTATACCCATTATTTGGAAGGAACGTATTCTTGGAACAAATTCTTTTTATAAAAAAGAACGAGAAAATGAACAAGTTCTTTTGTTTCGAGGAAAAATAAGGAATATTTGTTGTTCCTTTCGAGTTCCAATTTACACAGATATGTAAATAATTTGAATTAAAATATTTTTTTTTAGTGACTTTTGCCAATTAGTAATCGTTATGAGTAATGATGTTAATCGTATAATATAATATTAATTAATACTGTTTAAAAAATAATAAATATAGATGAATAAAAAAAAATTATGTTCAATATTATATTCTTAAATTAAATAGTAAATTATAAAAATACTTGTAGATATGTATAAGTATAATCAAAAAATTAAGTACCTTAGTATATGTATGAAAAAAAACCATTGATGATTAAATAAGAATTTTTATTTTATTTGGAACTAAAAATGAACGAGTTCATTTTCCAAAGGAACAACAAATGAAAGAATTTTTTTAAGTAACAAGGAACAGGACCAATTCTTTTTAAAAAAAAAGAACAGAGAACGAAACGAATTCCTTTTCATAAGGAACTTTCCAAACACTGATTAAACTTACAACAATTATAAGATATAAAGTATGGCAAAGTTGCAAAAGTTTATTGTGCTCAGTAATGTTTTTTTAAATATTTTAAATTTTTTTTCGGATTCTGACAATATAATTACTTCTGTGCTCAATCGAGTTGTAGCCAAGTAATTGTCTACCTATTAAATCAGATATATCGTACACAAACAGATAAATCATTAAAAGTGAATTTTGATTAAATATGTATTATGTGTTTATTCATGAATAATTTAAAAGTATTATGGTAAATTAAAATTTTAAAATAATATTTTTGATCATCATTTTATACATGGATAGTAGTAACAGAAACTTGTAGCTACAAGAAAATTATTTCTCATACTAATGGCCTTTATTATATCGTAACTATATTCTATGTATTCTATAATTATATAATATTTTCATGGCTAAACAATTATGCCTATTGAATATTACTTTTGTCTATTTTGATAAATTGATTCAAAAAACTAAGATTTAAATTTGATTTTCTTGGTGGTAATATTTATTTAGTTTTTTTGAATTAATAAGTTACATGCAACATGGATTACAGAACTTACTCATTTAGTATGCTACCTACATCAGAAATGCTACCTACTTCAAATTCAATTTAGTTTAATATTAATAAAATCAATAATAATTATAATAATGTCTTACCTTATATGTTTACATTAATTCATTATTTCTTCATAATAATAATTTGAAAATTTGAAAATTAAATCTTGGTCACTTTGACATCACGTCAAAATGGCCTGAATATATTCTGTGAGTTCACTGATTATCACCATTCTTTCTTTGATTGTTTTTAAAAAGAAATGTATCGACTTTTAATTTTTAACTCTAATTTCATATTATTTTTACTTAATTTGTCTCCATAAGATTATGTACCCAAAACCAAAATTAGCTAAACTATTAAACTCTTTTCATTGGTCTGAATGCATCATTGTAATTTTTTTATTTTTTTCAAAATAATTTGAAGACTTTTTACTTCTGTTCACTTGTACATACATTACTGTTATATTTTGTTTATCAACAATAAAAATATTTGCTCTGTGACCTCATCAGCATAGACCCAGAATTGGCAGGATCCTTCGACATGCTGTCCATAATTTTTATTATCAATATTATTATTTTCAGAGTTAGAATTGACATTTGAGATAAAATCTAAGCGGGAAAAGACTTAATGCTCTATTTACCCAAGCAAATCGTCTATTTATTACATATTTATTTTTTGCCTGAAATTTGAATTAATCAATTTTCAGTACTTATGGGTTATCTCGACTACCATCCGCCACATATGGATTATAATGACTACCGCACGCCGGTGCCCACTCTAATTCTATTTTTTCTAGTGTCGTTACAATCGTGAAACAAATGATACATTTTTAATAGGAGTTCCTGATTGGTTTTCTGCTACTTTGATGTCTAAAATACATCAAAACATAGAAAAAAGGACGACAATTTACTCTGATTACTGGCGGGCATAATACACAATACAAGATAATGTAGAAATAGCGAAATGGAGAAACAAACGTCATAGAGGTACAGCAAGTCACCATTTAAAATCCTACTTGGCAGAATTCATGTGGAGGAATACTCATAATGACCTATGAAGACCAGTCCAATGTGTTACTAACCTTACTTATTTTATAAATTTTAATCTTATTTGTTTGTAATTACTAATTATATTGTTTGTATTATTAAACTCTTACTTTTTTTAAAATTATATATCACTATACTTATAAAGATGTGCATTGCAGCAGGAGTTCGACATCAAGGTAGTCGCGATAACCCAATTTTCAATATCAATCCTCGACCACTTATTTTTTTCCGTTTATCAAACATGGAACATACTCAACATGACACAGATTACCCCAGTCTATAATACTAGTGTCTAGAGTACTATTAAATGTCTATTTTTGACAACTGGAGTTAAACAAGACTAACACCAAATCAGTCCTGTTTCACATAAACTGAGTACCTTGCTGTTCTTAACGTAATACGTAAACATTTAATTATTCTTCTTAATTGAATTATATTTAAAAAACAAAATTGTCAAACATTGAAAATATCTTTTTCTACATTTCAGTTAAGTTATTTTAATGGCATTTCCAACCTAGTCTCTTTTGTGATAACTTTAGGCATATTCATCCAAATCTACATTATACAGTGGCATACACACTACATGTATTAGGTACCTACTTTGTAACATGTATTATTTTTTGGTAAAAACTTTCTTTCATTCAAAAACTATTTTTTTTGATTTTGAATAAATAATATTATAAATATACCAATAAATATCTCTCAAAAATAAATTACCCTTACAATCACAACACAAATATAGTTGCATTATACAACACAAGCTATCTAAATATTATAAATCAGACCATATCCTATCAGACTATAAAATCATGTTATTTATCTTAATTTTAAATTTTTATTATACATACCTAGTCTGTTGTCCTTATTGTATTATATTGCATAAAATGTAGGTAACATACTAAAATACATTTTTGGTGATGGTAGCATACTAAACAATTTGATACCTAAATTATGAAAAATTAGCAAATATAATAGGTGAATTTTCAAGTATCTACACTTGAAAAATATCATCTTTTTTAAGTTATTCACTAAACATAAGCTTAAAAGTTATGTCTACAATATACTAAAGTAATTATTCATAAAATAATTTCTATTAAAAAGTTATAATATTTATATAGGTCAAATTTTTATAAGTAATTGCATAAGTATGTAGGTAATAACTAATAATTACATCAATATATAATATAATATTATAATATGATAAATGATGATAAAAAAAAAGAAAAACTGTTATTTTCTAAATGAAATATTGTTATTTTAAGTATAGGATTTTCTAAGTAAAACAACTAATTTATGCTTGATAAATAATTAAAAAATAATAAAAATTATGGATAATTTTGTATTAAATTATTTCTCCCATGCATACTAAAAAGTTTTATAACAATAGTCATAAATAGTCATTTATGGTCTATGGTAATGACAACAAAATACATAATCACTTAAATATATAACAGTGTTCATTTTTAATGAGGTGGATCATTTTTACAACAAACCGAAGCAAGTAATGTATTATTATTAGGAGTTGGAGTGTTGTGATGGTTCAGTAGAAAACAAAGAGAATAATCACCGAGACAACAATGTTACAATAAGATATAAGGTATATAGGTACCTTATAAATATAATTCTATAAGACTAATAATACTATTTTATTATAGAATTATTGCATTAATTATTTTCTAAGACACTGTTGTATTAAAACTACAATATTTTCAAGATTAAAACAACATAGGTATATTTTAACCAAATTGAATGGATAAGTATCATCTTATTTTTGTATGATACATAAAAGTTAAATTATTTCTACACTATAATCTATATATATAAATATATATATATATTACTGTGGCTTTATAATATGTACCAGGTACCTATATTATATAATATTATATAAATGTGGCTTTTCAAATTTAAATTGTGTTTTTAAATAGAATGAACTACATCAATATATTGTGATTGATAGAATTTACCAATATTAAATTAGAAGGTACCTAAGATGACTAACATACAGTTTAGTATTACTAAACATGATAAATGATATGTATCTAGTGTACTTATATTGCAGTGGAATACCAAAATCTCAATTTTTTTTATTAAAAACTGAAGTTAATAGTTATAAAAAACTAGTTGGTCCGACTAAAGGTACATATTCAAGTTGTTCTTTAAAATTTTACACTCTGACATTAATGGAATTTATAGGTACATAATTTCAGACGATTGAATTTCTAATGTTAAAAAAATAATAATTTTATGATTTTGTACTTTACCGATGACCTAGTCATATTAGATTCATCATAAATGCCTGAATTTCGATGCGTATAACCAACATCAATCAAATCGTTATGATATTTTCTTGGTAAAAGCTCAGTTTCCAAGTCACCATAATCCTAAATAAATAATTATAAGGATCAAAGGAATCTATAACAGTAGTTATTATAACATTTTTTTGTAACTTACTTGATGGCTAAATTCAAATTCTTCCACTTCCATATCTCTATGAGATTGTTCGTCAGTTTTCATCGGAGAATGTTTTCCTTCAGATTTTCTATCATTACTAAAAACGAAACAATGGTAAAGTTACAATATTTTAACAGAATAAATACTGATACTCTAATACCTATAGGTTTTTGTATTGGTAACAATATAATAATTTATCGTTGACGCAAAAGCTACTAAAAGACATGAATATGAATGAATATATTTATTTGTAAATAAAATAATATACATAGAATGATGGGTAAAATGTATTTTGCATAACATAAGCATAACCAAAGGTTCTACAAGTCTTTTTAAGTTATTAAATTATTAAACCTATATAGTACCTATTTAAATAATTTTTCTAAAACTGTATTTTAATAGTCATAACTTATTAAATAGGTATTAAAATAGTTATATAATAGGTATAATAAATCTAACACGAGTTCAATCTTATAAATGAATAACTGAAATCCTTTGTTATCAAAAATATAAAAAATATAAAAATAGTAAATGCCATGACTGTTTTAGATAAATGAAAATAAAAAGAATGTTATCTAAAAAATATTTTCAATTTAAAAATACTACAGTATTGTTGGATGACCATGAATGTGGTAATTTTACAAATACAATAAATACAAAAATGAAATTAGACTATTTATGATCTTTAAAAATTAACTAAATCAAAACGATATATAAATAAGTTTTAATGCATTTTGATTGTTATTAAACAATTGTTATACATAGTATGTCGTATGTGAGCTATATAATTATATTATTTCCTGTCAAAGTACGATTGTTTTGTAACGTTTAGAATTTTTAATTTAATTATTCAAAATATTGATTATAATAATTCTCAATCTAAGGTTTTAGACATTTTAAATACAATTGTGTTATTTCTACTAATATACTTTTAATATACTTTTGAATAAGTCCAACCGTTAATAACAGAAACCACAGAATAATTTGCCTCGTGTTTGATTTCATAAAATACATTTAATTTTTAATAATTATCTTAAAACGAGGTGTTAACGTCAACTTAATACAGAGTACACGAATCTTTCACGTATTAACTATTAGTATACCTAGTCCTATAATTTGAATTTGAATACTCGGTAGTCCCAATATCCATCCCAGAATTTTCATTAGGAAAATCAAATCCTTTACTTTGGCCTCCGGATATATTTGTATTAAAACCATCAAGTTTCTGAAATATACAAGTGTGCAATAGAATAGAATAGGCATTTTTTCCCTTTAAGTTAAGCTTATTATAATTGTTATTGACATTCTTACTCGGGAGTGTGTTTTTCTGGATTCCCGTCCTCTTCTATATACCAATTGATCAAAACGGTCTCGATCCGAGGGACCTATTAGTTCGCGCAATTCCGTCAACAGCGTAAACTAAAAAACCAGACCGTTATTAATGCAATCATAACCACTTTAATGTGAGATAACTCGGGTAGTAGGGATCAATTTAAACACAAATAACTGTACAAATATGGTTGAAATTAAAAATAATGAATACGTACGTCGTCATATCAGTATGTGTTTAAAATGTTCCATTTTCCTTTTTTATTTTAATCTATTTTCAAGGTGCCCGGTGCCAATGTCATTTTGTTTACAAAAATACACACAACGGGAATAATCATCCCGTCTTGTAGAATTCACCAAATTTGATAATTTTTTTTAACTATAGAATGTAATATTCCATAGAGCTCGTTGAACTCTGTTTTTTGTATTTTAATCTCAAATTTTATAAAATGTCTTTAAAAATAAAACAATTCTATGCTTATTTTACAAATTATTTTTTTACCATTATTTAAAATAAATAAAAAATCTGAGTTCAATGCGATCTGTACAGAAAGTCTTCATCTTTTACATAAAAAAAATAGTTATCAAAATCCGAAAATTCTACACGGGCTGAGAACTTTTCCTGTGAAGCCATTAAAAAAAAATATAATACACGGTATAACCAACCCCTCCCCTCGCTGTAAATAGGTAACGAGCAGTAGATTAGTGGACAATTATTATAATTAAATTGACTACAAAAATATAAAATATTTTCAAATTTTATGGAATTGCGAAAAATTTGAAAAACCGGCACCGGGCCCCTTAATGTTTTTCTATAACAAAAGTGTGATTTTTATAATATGTCAGTCATTGATTTTTGTTCACCTTATCAGTTGTATTGAGCAATTCAAAAAGTATAGTTATAAATGCGTCAATAGACATTCGAGAACATGAATACTCGTCCAAATAATACCGCAAAGTATTAAATTCATTTTTCGTCAGCAAAATTCGAGCCTTTTCCTCTACCATTTGAGATGCAGCAGATGTCCCTAACTTCAAAGCACCGTCTGCACTAAAATTAATATTGCCATGTTAAGAATAATACGTTCGGATTCATTCTTATTGTTAAAATAAGTAATTTTCTAGAAAGGAAATATTGAAAAAATCTTATATTTTTGTAACTAATAATCGTTAATTTTTAAAATAATTATTCTTTGTTATGTATTGGAATATAAGTATGCCTAAACTATATATTTATAAGAGTATTATTACTATAAAATGTGTTTTTTATATGATGTGATTATTATTTACTATTTGGTGTTTTTATTCGTAAATTTCATACAATTATAATAATATATTATTATACTTTAATACTTTTTACATAGTAAGACATACAACTTCACCGACATTTTATTAATTGCTCTTAATGTACCTAATTAGTATTGATAATTAGATTGATAGCTGAAATTGATTTCCAAACAAAAATATATGAAATTGTTCGCGCACTATTACAGTTGTTATGACACTCAACTAGTCAACTATAATAATTATTTACGGACTCTTAGGTATAACATTTTTGTAAAAATATCATGTATTTTTATATTTTAAGTTCTGTCCTGGGGACTATCCCAGGCCATAGCTTTAAAGTGTAGTTTTACTATTTAAATCTTATATTTTTTATCATTTAACATCAAGAAATGTGTAATAACTACTGATACTTCAAATGACCAAAAATGATAAATAACCTGTTTATTATTAAAAAAAATATATATGTTTATTTGGGTTTGTTTATATTAGTACTGACTTAATTGGTATACTTATAAATGTATTGGGAATGTCTGTAGATATTTAGTAATAATTTAGTTTTGTTAAATATCTATGGAATAAACATTCTTGGTTTATTCAAGAGTTTTTCTGTAATTGTATGGTATGTTATGTTTGAATATAATTCAAATTATGTATCTGTATGAATCGTTCAAAATATAATATAATATCAACATGAATATTATAATTTCTATATAATATTTAAGACGTACTATTAGAAACTCATTACAAACTAATATTAAAGTTAGAAATATCTATTGTTAAAATGTGTAAACTAACAAGTATTAAAATTGTTTTTAACTAATTCAATATGTCTAATTAAACTTTTTAATAGCCATCTAGTCACTATTAATTGAAGCTTTTATATGAAGAAGTATGATAAAAGTTTTTCCTAAAATACATAAAAAAAATTTAAAACTACACAAATTACCTAAGAAATTTATAAATTTTATGATTATTAAGTTTGAAACATATTTAACATCACAAAAATGGTCTTACTTGTCCATCGAATGGTTCCAATTTGTATCTGGATTATATGTTGTGCAGGAATGGGGGACTTTACCTACATCTCTTACAGTAAGTGTCATTTGTTTTTGAAATTTCAATTGATTTACTGCTTCATCGTGTGATAAATTCAAAAAAGATTGACCATTTACTTCCAAAATTTGATCACCAATCTAAAAATAAATATTTTTAACATAAATTAGAATAATACTGTTTCAATTGAATAAAATGTATTTATTACCATAAGTCCAGATCGATCTGCAACAGACTCTTTATCGATACCGGTGATAAAAATACCTAAATTATACTCAGTTCCACCCCTAATCATCAGACCAAGACTTTGTCCCGGTTCAATCACCAATTCAACCTTAAATCATTTTCGTTAAAAAATATAGATGCACCTAAATCAATTTTAAACTCATATATAATTATAAGCTTACTTTTCTTATTTTATCTTTGGATGATCGAGTATAGGACCATTTTGAGTAAGGCGAAATGGGTTTGGCATATTCTAAAGGAGGTGAGACTGGTTGACCCTTACGATTAATCCATGAATACGTCCTGGACAAATTCCACGCATCGTCTTGATTAGTGTTCTCGTCGTGGTCCTTTTTGTGCATGGTAGGCATTGATTGAGGTGGTGATGGACATTTTACTGTCATTGTAATTTGCCGATATGACTTAAAAATCTGAATAAAAAGAAACGAATTAAGGAAAACATTTGTCGGTAGTTCGGATTCGTCGTACTTTTAATGCTTCTTCGTGTGATATAGTTGAAAATGGTCTGCCATTTACTTCTAAAATTGAATCTCCAGGCTTAAGACCAACGCTCTCGGCTATACTTCCTTCTTCTACCCGTGATATATACACCCCAACATCTATTTAAATAAGAATATTTACAACATATTAGTTTATTAAGATCGTTAAAATTTAAATACGAATAAACAATATACTATTATGGAATTCGACTATCATAATGAAATAATAATGATATAGGTAACAGTTCTATATTCTTTGACTATTATTAACTAGGTTCTAGCGTTATTGTGTTAGATTATGGTCAAATATAAAATGCAGCTGATTGCTTTATTATAGAACACCTTTACCATAAAATAGGTTTTTTTTGTAAAAAATTATTCAATTAAGTCTAAAATAAAAATGTAATTTACTGGTCATAAAATTAAAAGAAATTATGGTCTGTCGCTCAAGGTTGTCAGTTGATTGACTTCTGGTATATTTATAACTTTATTTGTATATGATATCTCATCATGTATCAATATACGATAATATTCAATTTATCAAAATTCATATTAGATAATCTATTACCTAGGTACTTAAATAAAGAAATAATGTACAGTTAAAAAAATATTATTATTAGTAATTCACACAAGACTATGTAGCTAGATTTTGATTCAATATATTTGTCAAGTATGAAGAATGAAATGCATAGAACATTTACTATGGCTATTGCTACTTAAGTGAATATATGCAGTGAAAAAACAAATAGATAAATATATAAATCATATAGAGTTTCCATTTATAACGGGCAACGAAGTGCACGGGATCAGCTAGTGAATATATAATATATATATTTTTTATTGATATAAAACCCGACAACTATTGCCATTAGCTGTTTGTAGGGGGATACAGTTGGTTTGAAATATATATTTGTATGCGTGGCAAGGAATTTGTTGCTAAAAATCCCGGGTGGTCACCCATCCAGGAGCTAGCAACGCCGGCCGGTATGTACACTTATAGCGAGTACGCAACTAAGTGTAGACACCGAGCCACACCACAGTAAATATACAAACATAGCATTATAGCGTATATAATATACCTATTACTATATTATGGTAATTATTTTTTCTATTAGAAATTTGGAAAGTTGAATTACATTTTTCCAAAACCATCATATTTATCATATATTATAATTATAAATTTATAAATAGAAGTCAACACTGAAGTACCGTAAAATTATTTAAATAGGCATGTGGTATAAATAGTTAAAATTAGAGTAAATATTTTAAAAATATTGTGTAAAAGTACCAAAATACTCTACATTTGATTTAACATTGAAATAATAGATACCTATAGACTAGTTTTTTTTTAACAAATCAAATGTTATTACTATTTACTATTAGTTGTAAACGGTATAAGTTGAACTATATTTTGGCGGAAACCAATCACATACATTGTATATTGTATAACAATAATATTTCATACAATGTAAAAAGCTGTTATATTAATATAAGTAAATAATCAATATAAGCGTAGAGTAGCTTAGTCACCGATAGCACGGTGTAAGTAATTTAATGATAAAAATTGCTTAGAATTTATATAAAAATGTGTATATAGTAAATAGTAATGTACGGAGTGGTGAAAGAGTCTATTCCTTGTGAATAATATTTTTAAATTTATTATAATAACTAGACCGGATTTTCATGCAGTAAAAATCAAAAAAATGTGCAGTTAATTATCGTTATTTTTGTAAACATTTGAATTTTGAAAAGAGTAGGTATTAAAAAACTTGTATGTATTTTTAATATAGCCGTCGTTAGTTTGACGAATTACAAAAAAAAAAATTGTGCTAACGAATTGTGGAAATTTTTGAATTACTAGGTATAAGAAAAACGTATGAGGGACATTGTATTCAATTTACAAGTTATGTAACCAAGCATAAAAATGTTTATCAAGTTTGTATAGAAAATGATAATTAAGTACTTATAATTAAAAGTTTCATGTTTCTGCAATTAATATTTTTTGAATTAAAATATGATAACAAAAACCGTTTGAGGATAAATTGTTATTTTAGGGTTCCTCATAAGCATTGTTCATATAATTGAAAAATATCAAAAATACAGTTTCAATTTTTTTATAGATGAACATTTAAAGTTCAAATGCATATGTCAAAATAATAAACATTTGAAAATTATTTTGCAGTTGAAAATTCATAACATTTATAATTGAACACCTAAATTTAAAAATGTAATACTGAACTAATTACTCATGTCTCATTAGTTTTTATTTACTGGAATTTAAAAAAAAGTTTAGTTAAACATCATATAAATGTTTACTGAGATATTGAAGTTTAAATTGTGAAGATATGGATATTAAAAAGGAAGTATGATGAGTTAACTTTAGACAATTTTGTTTTGTAGAAAAAATATTAATAGTAGAAACTTGAAACATTCCACTATTGCTTAAAAGTTAAATTTTCATTTTCTATACACTGTGTATAATAGTATTATACACGTACAATTTTAAGCTATTTATACTACAAACATATTCACACTATGTGTCGTAGGTTCTGATTTATAAGTTAATAACAATAATATATGATATAATGTTATAATACGAATGTTTGCGATGTTAATTGCATTACATTATTTCATCATAATGTAGTATTAAAATACAATTTAAGTACTAATAGTAATTATATAAATTATTTAAATATCCATAGAAATAGAAGTTCACACCATTGCTTTTCATAAATTCAAGTTTAACACCTCCATTACAGTGAACAACTGAGACAACTTAGACATTTTTACCAAATAATCATTTAGCATTTTCCAGAAATGATTCTGTTTTAAAAAAGTATTTTGGCTTCCCTGGGTTTTACTTTTGATCCCCCTCCTACTTAAATTACCAACTATAAATCTAATTTTCTACCGAAAAATATCTTCCATATTAAAGATTAAAGCATTTTAATTCAATTTAATGTTGACATCAGATACAGAAAAACACATTTATCATTGTTAAAAATGTTTGTATTTCAACACTTCACTCAGAATCTAAGAATTCAAAACCCGTCGAAATTAATATGAATTCTTTTCATTGACGCAATAATTTAAAATCATTTTCCTATGTATACGTATACGCATTACGCTGTCAAGCAGAATGCAGATCTTATTGTTACCTATCGCTTTTCTTATATTCTACGTGGGAGCGGAGAGTGAAATTGCAGGTTTGAGACAGTAATATAACAAGCCTCGCTGATCATATTCTTAGGAAAAATAAATGATATAATAGGTACTTTGTGTAAGTTTATACATATTATATTGCTTGGAATAATTTAAGAATCAAATATATTTCTACTTATTAGCAGCTATCACAGACAATAGATATTTACCTTCTGATTTAATATTTTTAAATAAAAATATCAATAAGTTAAATTAATTTGACTTACTTGATTCGTCTGCTCCACCTTTAACACAAATACCAAATCCTTGATTGGATGGGCTTCCCGACGTTGCATTTGGTCTTGACATTGATATCGTACGAACTGTAAGATTATCATTATGTATTGTGGATGATGTGTTGTTGTGTGGTTGCGATGTGTTTGAACCATGGGGTGGAGGTGATTGTGGTTTAGCACTAGACACGTGATACGAAGAAGATGCGTTGTAATTGGGTGCTGCAAACATTTTAAGAACTTGTTCCGGCGAAATAGGTCTCTTTTTTCCAGAACTTCCTCGTGAACCGGCATTATTAGAACGATTACTATTGCTACCAGTGCCTGTGTGAAAAACAAACTCGTGGTGTACATTTGTAGGACAGAACAACTAGGACTAGACAGAACAACACTTCACAAATCACAATTACAACATTTATATAAATAAAGCATTGTATATTATATATATGTTAATGCCAATATAAAATTTAAATAAATAAACAAACCGTAATATAACCAATAATGTTTAATTTTTAAATACCAAATTAATTTAAACCTTAATTTTTATTTTACAAATTTTAATTGTATATTTTTAGCCTAATCGACACAGTTAATTGAATCATTCACTCATTTGACTCAAATAGGCTGATTTTGATTAGCATGTATATTAAATTACAAACACATAAGAAACAATTCGTCTCTTGGACTCACCAATTGGGTAATGCCGTCAATATATACTTTAAATGGTATATTTCCACAGTTCTTAGTCCATTTTCCAAAATTTTATATCATATATTTTGACAATTAATACTAATTAAATTATAATTCCTTCGAATTATTACACCGAAAAGTATTTAAGTTTTTCAAAATATATTTTTTACATTATTAGAAGTCATTACGAAAACGAAACAATACATTTTTAAAAGTAAAAAATATATTTATGTTTTTTCGATTAAGTATAAATATTAAAGATTTTTCATTAGGAATGAGACAACATTTATATTTGAAATATATAAATAAATAAATAAGTACCTAATATTGAATAATTATTAGTTTTTTGTGTATTACATTTATTGTGTATATTTTTTATTCATGAACTTTTTGTCAATTGAATTTTTAAGTTCAATAAGCAGCTCTTACTAAACTTCAAATAATATGTGTTTGTTTGCATATGTCAACGCAATAAATCGAGAAATAAATTTTTATAGTTCTATATAAGTATATATAACTATTGTCTAAGTTCTAAGACAATTGATTATTGATTATTTTTTCTCGTTATTTTATTTAGATGAACTATTTTTACTATTATTAGTGTACAAACTAGTACTAGACAGTCAGGCTCCGTGCGACCATGCCTCTATCTAATAACAAAGTAATATTTCTATATTACGGTTCATGGAATATTTCTTTTATATTTTCATATATAACTATAGGCGACAGTCTAAATTATATAAAATACTAATATAAATACAAATATATAATATTTTAGCAGTTTAAAATAGTATACTATTCAATAATGTAATGTTAATACTAATTTATACTTCAAATACATACTACTAAATACTGATATTTTGTATTCATTTCAATTAGATAGCTTGGTTTTTTAGCTCTCTGTGTATGTAAGTGATCAACACTTTGAAAATTTAAAACCATTTTGATAGCCCGGGATTTTGCAATCCTTGAATTTATTTATTTTGTATTTAATATACAAGATACAATATACAATACAATTACAGTTATGTATCTATTTATGAACGTATTCTAAATCTTAGTTACTTGAAAGATACAATTATACAAGTTACATAAACAATTTAAAAAATACGAGTAACATTTGAATTGAAATCGAGTTTGAATTGAACGCTTATATATTTTTATACATATATTATTTTGATTATTTTGATATATAAATATATATATATATATATATATATTATTCTACACAATTTTAGAAATATTTAAAGCTTTTCAAAACAAGTTTCACCTGAGAATTATGGCTTATTTCTTTGATTTAATCTATAATGAGTTTTAATTAAAAATTAAAAATGTGGAGGTAAGCATATTATACAAAACAAAACATTTTACAGGAACCTAAAGACAAGAAACCTACACGATAGTTTCAAATTATCTTATGTTGATATCGACATATCATTCCTGTTATTAACGATTAGAAAAATGTCACCGATTGTATTCTGGCGAATTGGTATAATAAAATTTAACACATTATCTAATATCTTAATGTGATTAAAATTTTAAATGTAGAAACACATCATGTGTCGATGAACTTGGCCTAGGTAAGTAAAATAATGGATTCATGCTGAAAAAGGGTGTTTGGTGAATGGTGATGATGTTATTCGTTTAACTAAAAGTATTTTATACTATTGCTTACCCGTGTTTTTAAAAATTATCATGTCCCTATGGCCTTTACTCTATAAAATCAAAATCAACAGAATGTATGAAGCTATGAGGGAAAAACTAATTTGATTATGTTCCCAAATAATAAAGAAAATAATTTTTTTAAATATTATATCATTCGAATATTGAACTAATTACACATATCGAAGTTTGAAATAAATGTTCTTACAGAATTCGTTGGATTATTTTTGGGAAATGATGGAATAGTTTACAAAAATAATAAAAAATAATGAAAGAATTCAAATTTAGATTCAAAATATAGTGTAACTAAAAGGCTTTTTTATTGTCTTTTTTACTACCCTCTGAAATCAACGATGGATATACAATGTTAATTTCAGCGTCATTCGTGGAGGACTTTAATATTATTCATACTACGTACTTAATAATTAAATTACGCATAAATAAAATTTTCTTTAAATTATAAGCTGAGAACCCGTTTACAACATCACGAACGAAGCTGAATAATTTTATCAGCATAGACATAATTGATATGTAATTACAATAAGTGGGTGTACAATGTATATTTTTTTTTATATTTTAATATAATATTATAAAATGTGTTATTGTTAACTATTGTTTAGGCGATATTTGAGTTGAAAAATATTCAGTTCTATACCTATTAGTATACCTAAATAATTATTCGACTCACTCTGTCTATGACGATTTTTTTTTATCATTATAATTATATTTTTTTGACCAAAAACGCAATACTATTTTACTCATGCAAGTAAATTTGAAAAAAAGTATCTAAATATATAATTTTCTTGTACTAATGTAACTCAGATACGTATTTCAGTTATATGTACGAGAATTCAGATACTTTCCAACCGTGTTATCAATCTTGAATTATCTAAGAAATAGTAAATCTTAGAATTATTAATTTATATAAGTTAAATTTAGCAATTTAGTAACATAGTTATAACTTTGTATATAGCATCTGCTATTACTTTGGGTAAATTCATTTTGTGATAACTGTTAAGCTATTTTTACTTTACACTACTGGTTTAATCATTAATAATAGGAACTACAATACATTTAATATAAATAATAGTTAAACCAACCGGATAATATATTCATAATAATTTAAAGAAGTACTGAATGAAGAAGAATATAATATATAGAAGCATTAATTTAGACTAAAAAGGTACTAGGCCTTATATTGAATGTACAATGGCCTAAATATCATAATTTGTAATTTTGTATTCGTGCTAATATACTGCATATGCATGTTAGATCCATGATCTGAGTATTAAATAATAAATATTTAATTGTTATGACATGTTTATATTATTACAGATGTACAACTTAAAAATAGAAAAATACTTTTAAAAATGTTTGGCATGCAATTCAAAACAAATATCTTGCAATCAAACATAATATAAGCTATATTTCCCTCTAAGTATTTTTAGCCATGCAAAGTCACTTATTATTTTATCTAAAATATCGATGTGTTTTGTTATACGATTCTCAAAAACAATCAAGAATTTTTAAAATTTAAATCCAAAGTATTTTTTGTATTAAATTTAAGTTCAATAAATACAAGACAATTTTAACTTAGACAAAATGTGTTCACAAACTAAAAATTATAGTTTAAGTATATAGTTTATAGTTATTATAGGTTTCTTGATTTAATTTTAGAATCCAAAATCTATTATCTCTTACCTGGGTGATTTGGTCCAGATACGCCAGCTGATGACTCCCTTAGATATGTTGCTCTAGGTGGTGGAGGTGGTGGTGAGGCAGCTGGAGGCTTTTCGAGTATGGTATAAGATGTGCCTGGTGGAGAATAATACAAGCCAGTTCTTATTTTGTTTACTCCGCCCTTGGTTCGTCCATAATGTCCCATGACATCTTCAGCTTCGGCTGCTCTGCCACCGCTTCCGCCGCTTCCACTGCCACCTCCAGATCTGTTGAACGGCAATGGTAATAGTCGGTGACCGGTACGTTGTCCTGACGGCGGGACGGATCCACTGCTCCCAGGACTTCGACCCCATCCTCCAAGCATCATTTTCCCATTACACAAAACACTTGTAAATTTTAATTGGTTCGCCAAAATACCTGAAAACAAATTAAAATGTAACGTTTGAAAAAAAGATACAATAATATTATTGCTATGGTGGATGTATAGTATACATCCATCATTACTCAACATCAACCCCATTAGCATTGGGTTATATATATGTATCAACATCTACTATTTAATACATAATATAGTATACATAACCAACTAATATCATAATTACATTTTCAATGTAAATTTATTAGGCTCGTATACTTTTATATTTCAGAAACACTCTATGTAGAGCCATTTATAATGAAATGTCTCAACGTGTTATGATGAGTGAAAACAGCCGTATAAATCATACTAAAAAATTGACAGAAAATATAAATCTAATCAATTTAGTGATGTTTGATAATTTATACCTAAACAGTATTAGCACTCACAGGCAGGGGCCTACCTAGGAATTTTTCAAAGGGGGTCCAAATTTTTTAACATGTAAAAATATTATACAAACAGTGGTTTACACCTTAAACATTTTAAATTCTGTCAATCCATGGGGGGGGGCCCATACCCGACCACCTCTCCCTCCTTGGGTACGCCCCTGCTTACAGGTACTAAACATTCATTTAATAAAAAAAAGGTGATGTATGAACAAGCGGCCATCAAATAACGTCTTCACACTTGTAATATTACAACCCTGTAATGATGAGTATAAAAAAATTTATTTAAAATTAAATAAAACAACCAAAATTGCATAGCTGTAATGTTTTTCTCATGTTGATGACAGCCAATAGGGCATATAAAAGTGGGAGTAACACCATAACACCATACGTTAAAAACACATGTATATTAAGTTAGTATGTAATTTGGATATAAATAATTTTGTATCACCAATACATATCATGGATTAAAATGAAGAAAATTTTGGACAAGATCCCTTATAAATTAATTTGCATGGCATAATATATAGTATGTCAGATTCTGTCAGTTAACCAACACTATATTAAAATAATTAATAATATTCTGAATTTTAAATGTCTACAACATTTTACTCACAAGTGACAACTGGATTAGTGAAACAATCTTCATTTATTTGAAAAAAATGATTATTATTTAAATATAATTAATTACAAATATAATACATACATATATAAATATAAGTACAAATACTTAAGTTCAAATAAAATAATAAGTAGGTAATAACTAGTATAGACAATTATATTATAAATACAGTCGAACTTTTTAAACTTTTAAGTTTTAACCGTCGACATCTTGAACTTATTCCCAGTCTATACCATTTTTATTATTGTATTATCGTTGGATAACGTAAACTTTTTGGCCGGTCCCTTTAATTTCGAGTCTGACTGTAATTTAAATTGTTTAAAATGTATATTAATGTAAATTCATTTATACATTTTTTTTTCAGAACTCAGAAAAGGTTAGTAGTTGTTGTATTTTTTAAAAATCTTGTTTGTATGCTATGTTAAACTAAAATGTAAAATACAATAAATTGTACAAATATTTAGGAAAATGTGGAAAAATATTTTATTCAATATATTCAAAACTCCTACACAAAAATGTGTTTTGCCTAAAAATTCCATAAATACAATTTCTCATACATTATTTACTAAAAATATTTTTTATATCTACGTCTTTATAAACTTCTAATTTATAAACTAAACTAAAATAAGCCCACACAAAATATTTATAAATGTAAAAGTAAAGTAACATGAAAATTTAAATTACAGTAATTTTGTAATTTATGATAATTCTTACTTATAATTCTGAGATTTCATTTTTTATTTATTAAATTCTGCTAAGTTCCTCCCAGTTTAATAAATAATTGAAATAACACAAAATCCTAGATTTTAATTAATAATTTCCACTTGATTCCATAAAAAGCAACCTTGGAAGACTAATCTAACCTTGTAGTATCATATTCCCGCACTTCATGTTTTAAAAGTTGAAATATATGTTTGTTCTTCATTTTAATTGGTTTTATTAAATTCAAACTGCAACATTGCTTAAATTAAATCCATTAAAAGTTATTAAGTACTCTGCAGTATTCCTCATTCATAATTATGTATAGAGATTGGATATATAAATGAAATATCGAAGTACTCTACAAATATAACTAAAATCAATAAATAAATAGTAGGACATATGAATCAATAATGGGGGTAATTTATTAAATTAAAAAACATATTATACTTTTTTTTTTAAATAATAAATTTCTCAACTAAGTACCTACTTTTTAGTATACCTTACTAAAATTATAATCTGTAATACAATAAGCTGAAATGTGTCTAAATGCTTGATTATAATTAATAATCAGGAAGTAATCACTTATTTTAGAAATATGCTTCATTTTATATAATATCTATGTTCTGAGTAGTATATTTAATCTACATTTTTTGATAGCCTATTCATTCATAAAATGTTTAAACACTGTAATAGTTTAACAATTTTTAGTTAATAAATGAGCTCTAAGTTCATTTTTTTTCTTTTTTTAAAATAAATATTTCGTTTATAATAGAACGGAAACATACTATTTGTACAATGTTGATTCCTAGTTAATTATATATCTGAATATTACATATAATATTATGTGATATGTGTAAAAGCCAATGATAACAGGACTTATTATCATGATTTACTAGAATAAATTAAAATAATAATAAATATGTATACAACCATACAACTATAAAACAAATTGGAATTTACAATTTTTGGTATTAGTTTTTGATGTGAATGACACATAAGTCTACTCAACATTATAGACATTTTTAAATTTTATCAAGATATTATATAATGTATATCTATTAATAAACACAGTTATGACTGTAATTTGTAATATATAATTTCATAGATTATTATGAAAAAATATAAATAAATAAATGTATATAATGACTACAAAAACAATACACCGTATTAAATTTACAAGTAAAAATGTCTCCTCTAAAACCATTTTCTGATATTTTAATAAATATTTAATATTTTTAATATGTTTATACTATATTATAATAGGATTTCATTCCTAGTGATAAAGTAAATTTGCTAAAAAAATAAATAAATGGAAATTATAAGCAAGTGAATAAAAGAACAAATGCCAAAAGTTAGCACCGGTGCATCTTCGTTTAGTTTTAAAACTTACTGGTGCAGCAGTTTGGCTTAGCACTCCAATGGTAAATATATTTTGGGTAAAGAAAAGTATTCATCAATATTATTTACATAATGTCTGGGGTTTTTTGAGTGTAAAATAATATTATATAACTACGTCCTATATGAGATACTGAGAAAAATGAACGCGCGACAGCGGTGTAGCTAAATAGTCTACCTAAGACGCCGTGTGATCATAATTGTATCCTCAATTTAATCATCAAAATAAACAACAACAAAAATAGACGTTAAAAAATAGACCCGGAAAATAGAAATTTACTGTTAATAATAAACTATTATTAAAAGAGTACATTCGAGTAGAAAGCATGCACTGAATATTTACCTTCAGTTCATTTCACAGTTATTAGAATGATGCATGTTTCTACACATTTAATGTATATAAATATTACAAGACAAACAAATGTTGTAGTTAGTGAAAATAAAGACTAAAAAAGCGGGCGACGCTCTGCTGTGCAGTAGGTTACAAATGGGTAACTGTAAAAAATGGTGTTAAATTTGAATTCAATGAAATAATATCATTTGATACGAAAAAAGATTCTGAGAGGAGAAGATTTGTTAGTCTAAGATATTTTATATTTAATTATTGTAATTATTAATATGGTAGCTGGTATGTTGAATTAATATTATTTGCATATTATTATATTTAAAAAGTATATATTAGAAATTTCAAGTACGATATTACATTCTTGGTAATTTAATATATAATTTCGTCCAAATTTGAAATTACCCTAAAAAAAAGTAAAACTGGGCTTATATATTTTTAGATTTTTTGGTTACAGAATTGACTACTTACGTAGAACCTTGTTTTTTGAGTATTTTTGATCTTTTTGGCCCAACGAATAGTTGACATGTATTGAAAAAAAACTAAAAAACATTTAAAATTTAAAATGTCTAAAACAATAAAATGATAAAACAAACATTGGAACATTTGATGTACGTTTCAGGTATTTACGATTATTTGTTTTTGAATTCCAAGAAAATAAGAAAATCGTTTCTTGAGAAATCGAGTGAATATCTAATGTTGTAAAAATTTGAACTTCAAACGCTATTGATAAATTATTGTGGATTTATGCTCTACTTTTTTTTAATTACCACTAATAACAGCTAATGAGCTAATTTGTGTTACATTTTCAAGTTTTTTGACAAATTGTTTATCAACATAAATTTTAAAAAAACTAATAAAAATCAAAAAAATACAAGTGCCTATAATTGCTATATATGAGTTAAAATATTTTTAAGACTGCGTATAATTTCATTTATGATATTATTTTTAAAATGAAATAAGTTTTTTCTTAATTTTTTTTTTTGTTTTTCCCTTGTGAAAACTACTAAGCATTTTAAATGTTGACCTCTCGTGAATTCACCAACTAGATTTACTTTCCAATCGGAAAAGATACTGAAGTTGAAAATCGAAGCATTATTTAGATTACTTATTGTGTACACAGACACAAAAAAAAACAAACACACATCATTGTAAAATCAATACATTCATCGCTCCGCTCAGAACCTAAAAATGGGTTCATTGTGTTCGAATTTCAAAAATATACAATTACAGTGATTGTCCACAAATTATATGGAATCAAAAATAAATTAGACATGATTTTTGGGTGAAAATGTATTTAGATTTTTAAATATTATAATTATTGTGTCATATAAATGTTAAATAATAATAAAAAAAAAATCGTAAAATGCCTACAATTTGGCACAATATTCATAGCAGATATAAGTATAATAAGAGTTAGAAAGCTAATTTATAATTAATAGCAAATGTTTTACATAAAAAAATAATTTCTCTTTTAAATTATCAAATTTAGTTTTAAAATAAAAATGTTTAAGTATCTCCTGACAATCAATTTAATTAATACTAGGATTAACTATTTAGTAGGGTCTCCTATAAAGTATGCATTAAAAAAAAAATGAATAAATTAACAAAATGTTTAATGAAAATCCATTTATTAATTATTTCTATATTACATTCGGCAATATTTCCGATTTAACAATGAACAACAATATCCAGCATATGACTAGCTCCAAACTCAAAAAGTGCGTATTTTGTGGAACATCCTGTAGTAAATTATTTCAAAACAACTTAAAATTGTTGTATGTTTAATAAGTAATAATTAAAATTGTTCATCTCCATACATAGATTGTAATGACAATAAAAATACGATAATAGTTTTGATTTGGTTGGGCTCATCTCATTTTGCTTATCTCTGAATAGGTTAGTGTGGTATATTATTACTATTAGTGAGAATGTAATTCCTTAAAAAATTAAGCCCTCACAATGATTCATAATAGACTGATTTTATCTCCTTACAATGTACCTATAATAATAATATATATATTTTTGTCACTGGTGGAAAATATTTCATAGGTACTTGAATATTTTGATAGACAGATAAGTATTAACTTGGAATATTTTGCCAAAGATTAAATTTCAAGAGCAAATAATTGTGACCAGGGCTACACTAGCTACGATATTTTCAAGATTTTAATATCGCCTGTTTTAATGGTTTTGGATTTATATTTTACTAAATTCATTATTACAGATTAAATGGTATTAATAGTTAATTTTAAGAACCCAAATTGAAAAAAAATTTCAAGTATGCATTTAACACATTTATCCTCCTACTCGATTTAAAAAATATTCTTATTGAAAATATATACATTTAAATAATTTTTCATTAAAATTTATAAATATACTTATATTGGTTAACTGGTACTTCTTCGATTTTATATGCAAATTTTCACATTCAACACCACGTCAAGCACACAAGCGAACGTGCTGTGATCATTATTATTATTAGCAGTAGCAGTAGAACTAGTAGTAGTAGTACTAATTATAATATAATTGTGACTTGTGAGGATAAAACATAATAATCATAAAAAATAAGTTATACCACATAACATAAGGCAGGTATAGGTTAGGTTAATATATAATATATATATATATTTGTCAGGTGGATATTATAAAAATCGGTGGAATATTCGAATATCGTATTTTATTGTTTAGCTTTTAGAGATGCATAATACTTATTTGACTTCAAATAGCGAAATATATGTACGATCCAAATAAATTGGAATTACGTGATTTTTAGTCATGATGGTTTTGCATGGCACGCTGCACGCTCGCGAGTATAGGTACCCTCTGTCTACATCATAATGTATTGTAGGACAGAGATCGTCGGTACGATGGTAAATTATTAACAGTTATTGCAACAAAAATATACAATTATTTAAGTATTCGTAATTACCTAAGTCTCGGACTTTGTTACGATTTCATGTTTTTTTTATTTTACTTATTAGATTGACTGCTAGATAAGCTATAAACTCATTGCATGGCTTTATGATAATGAAATAGTAAAAGTTTTTGGAGTATATTTTTGCAAATTTTACAGGTCATATTTTAAGTATAAAGATTAATACAAATTTAAGTAGTAATATACTAGTATTGTTAGAAATTAGTAAATTATAAAGTAAAACATTGATTTAAATCTAATTTATAGTAGCCATATCATGAGTTCGTAACCAATAATAAAAATACTTAAGAACCCACATTTATTTTATAATACAGAGAAAAGAGACTAGACAAGTGTTTGAGAATCTCATTCTCATATTATACTAATGGCTATTTTATACAATTTGACACGTAAAATGTACAAACCCAAGTCTGTAGAAGAAAAAATAGGTGCATATATTTGTTTTTGTTTATTATATTCTCTATAAGCGATGGAAAAATGTTTCTGTATACTCACCGAACGGAATGTTTCACGTAGTTGCGGGCGGAGGACATGATATGCGGTGCCAGTCTGTCGGGGTGTTGTCGGTGAGGGAGTGCCGCCGCCGAGTTCTGATCTCGTCCTGTCGCGTCGTCGTTGTCGCCACCGTCGTCGTCGTCGTCGTCGTCGTTGCCGTCGTTGCCGCCGCCGCCGCTATTAAAGGTTTTCGCACGCGGCACGGTCGGCCGGCGAAAATCACAATAAAATCACACAGGGTGATTCTGCGCACGTCGTTCGATTGTCCAAACACAATATAATATATATTAATACGATATTAAAATGGATGACGTCGACGTGACGACGCGATTTTGAACTGTACACAAAAGCGGCGCTCGATATGACGGCACATTATTATTATTATTACTATACAGCGGTGGGTAATATAATACCGACCGAGTACTCACCATGTAGGCGTGACAACATGCGAAATAATATTCTGTTTGAAGAACGATGAAAAGTAACCGGATGTACGCACGTCGATTTGGATAAATCAGATATTTATAAATAACAGTAATGGCCGTGTACAAATTACTATCGGACTTTCGCGGCGACGACTACGACGACAGCGACGATGATAGGTATTACACTAAAATAAAATTATGGACGCGACAGTGCAAGTATTGAAATGTGCATTATGTGAAGGTAGTTTTCTTCGCAAGAACGTTCCGATTTTTTTTGCCTCGTTTCAGTTTTGTTTTGTTTTTATTTTATTTTATTTTTTTGTGGGTCGCCCCGTTCGCTTTCATTGATTAAAAGTCGAATGACTCCGGAGCGACACCTAGTATTGATTCGGTCAACTATAACGCCGTCGCCGCCACCACCGTAATATTATACTATATATATACCGACGCATGTTTAGTCGTCCCTAGAGATCCTGTGGAGGTGGTTGGTTGGTACTCGAAAGTCGGAGTTGTATATTATATTATATTATGTATATGAAGTAAACTCGCGCATGCGAACACACTCACATTAAATAATACACACAAACTATATGTATACATTTATAAATTGTATAATTGCATGGGCTGAATAATTCACTTTTTTTATTAAGAATACAAAATTCTTAGTTTAATACATACGAAACCCTTAAATGTTACTGCCTCTTATAAACCACACAGTGTTAAAAACCTTAAAAAAAAATCATAACTTTTAGTAAAATAACAAATAATTATCTACTATTACAATGCTTGGCTGCCATTTTCAGGGTTTGTAACACCCTTTCGGTGGCTCAGAAAAAATATAAATATTTTAATTTGTGATAAAATGTTTTCTAGTACCTAACATAAAAATTGTTATTATAATGTTTATTACTAATACCTAATAAAATTAAATCTGACAAAACAAAACATTTTGACTGTGCACCTCTTGAACTTCAGATATCTTCAGTATTACGCCATGAAATTGATAATTGCACCAAATAAAGTCTCATTAAATTGCGTTCTGATTCAGGATACACGCTGTTTCAAGAAAAAAGTATGCTACCTACATGTTTAAGAAATAAACCAAAACTATAATAGTATAACCGGTCAAATGCTAAACAAATCTGTTGCACCTATACAATTCTAAAAATTATGAATTGTCTAAGAAATAAGTAATATTTTTTTTTCAAACATGAAACCTGAAAGTTTGACTCTACTTGGTAAATTAATAACACAAAATAAATGTGCCATTTCCATTGGTAGGTATTGTACTGCACAAAATGGTATTATATTTGATACGATTTTTAGAAATCTTCCGATAATGTTTAAGGCTAAACAAAATCCAACCTTAACCTAACCGAATAAAATCAAATCAACCTTCTCTGAGCAAAAAATGTAAAGTTAAAACTAAATATCTACTATTTTATTTTAATGTAATGTAAACTATATTTAAATACCCATATATCTACACCAATAATATTGTATACTATACATATATTTTACAGGCACTAATAAAAAAATCTTTATTTCTCTAAATCAACAAAAAATTAAAATTAATTGAACAAATATAAATATGTTGGATTTAGAAAATGTATTTTAAATATTTCAGTAGGTATACCATTATGAAAAGTATTTTCCACAGCATATCGAAATAAAAAATACAAACTGAATTTAAAATACTGCCTATTCTTACTATGCATTGTATATGATATAGGTATAGGTAGGTACCTACTTATCTACGACGTCAAATATTTAAAAAAAAGTACCAAAGACAGACCATAAATAAAATGTGCTGAGATGTAATTTATTATTACCTACGTAATGATATAGTGAAGGGTCTGTGCATATGTTACCGCAAGAATGATGTGTTGGAGTCCATATACAATACGTGGTTTTCGTTTCATATCGTATTACTATTTATTTCCTTTTTTTATCTCCTTTCACCTAGCGATAATAATTTCCACCCTTTTTGTTATATACATAATGACGTACTATAATATACTTATATATTGTATATTTACTGCGCAATCATTGAAGGGATAAGGCCATAAGGGTCCTCGTGACTTTCAGTTTTTAGATCGAAAAATGATCATTCTATACCAACAAAAGAACGTAATGTCATTACGATAAGAATTTAGAAAACAGTGTTTGATTCCTCTCAACATATTATTTATATACACGTATCATGTAAAATATATAAGAAAATCAACGGAGCACTGTTTTAATTTTAATTTTTTGTTATACATTTGAAAAACACCGAATCAGATTTTAAAAAAAGAATAAAATTAGAAAAAAGATTTCCGATAGTTGGTAATTAGCAAGTTATGTGTAGTGTGTACATATGCCAATGTTCGAGTCTTTGACAAGTATACATAACAGTATTGCAAGCATGCTTAATAAAGCATTATACAAGTGAAACGCCCCGTATAATGCATGTATACTGTATATACGTCATTCCTATACTATATAGGACACTAAAATAATGTATACGTATAGTAACCAATCGTAATCGGAAATTAATATTTGAAACGTTTTGCAATGAGTGACGGCAGCACAACAGCCGAAATAATATTATTATTTATTATACACGCGATATATACCCTCGCTTGAACATTACAGGAAACACGCCGCCGGAGCGGCGTCGCGCCGTCGCGCGTCGTCGTCGTCGACGGTTCGGCGTGGTTTATTTCCAATGGTGTGGTGGTGCGGCTGGCGCAGGGTCGGTACACAGAGTATATAGTACCTCTCCTAAATCGTATTATTGGATGTGGAAAACAAACATTATTTTCTGTGTAAACATGCATTATGTAGGGAAAAAACCCCTTTTACTGTGTTGACATTTTCCGAGCGGGAGCTTTTTAGGGAGGGGTTGATCTATCCGTTTTTAGGTCGGCGTCCGTTTGATACTATTATATAACTATACGACGCAGAGTAAATTTCATTGACACAAAATAGAATATATTATGCATTTATACCACCATTTTAACTATGATATACAGGTACGATTTGTGCATGTGTCATTTATTCTAATGGGTTCAGGGTTGATATGTAATCGAAAGCCAAAGGTATATTGTATTATTATAGCTGCGCATACACTACGTATAGGTTAGGTTAGGGTAGGTACCTACACAATTGTATAATATTAATAATGTATAGAACTTGTATAAATACATATTATATAAAGTAGGTAGGTACTCGATATTTGCATATTATATATAATATATAGGTGGCATTTTCTAGAGTCGGAAGGCCTGACCATTTATACGTATATGCACCACAAAATCAATCTCTGAATGTGATATACCAAGAGGTTTTGACTTAAGACAAATTAGAATTGAGCAATTACGTATAGAATCATTTGTAAATATTCTTATTTTTTTTTTTTTTGTTTCATTTATAATTCAGCTACTACTAATATGTAGCACTTGATAGCATTAAGTAAAATAAATTTTTTTCTTCTATAAGATTAAACAATGTGTGTTGATTTAACAATTTCATTTTGAGCAAAAACTACACACGGGTAAAGCCGGCCGCCGGGTAATTCAGCTAGTATATTATATATGATGTTATAGTGTTTTATACAAACAAATCACGATATTCAATAAGTAATTATTTTACCAAAGTTTCTCTTGGACTTTTTGAACCTACCTATGCCCATACAAATATTTATAATATAATATTTAAATACAATAAGTTATCATTTTTTCTTAACAACAAACATTAAGTTGTATGAATTGGTATTTGGAAATTGAAAGTTCGTATATTTCTATAAAGAATCATTAACCTTTGAATAATATGGGTGACTTTGTGGATCTTATCTTACCACCTCAATATTCCTCAGGAAACAGCGTGTTAGGCCGGATGGGAACAAGACTCGTCTTGACACTGCATAATACTCCACACGCAATATTGACTATAATAATTAATAGGTATACCAATACCTAGTATAGTACAAAGTATTATATGGAATCATATAATGAGCGCCGTGATGTAAAAACTGTTGGTAATAACTAATAATAATCTGAATTCGTGGACGGAATTTCTCCTTATTGAAAAACACTATAGGTATATAAAACCACACCATATTTTCAGACTTGAAAATTTTTTTTAAAAAAATGCAAAAACGGTTTTATCGAAAATCGAACAGTCGTTGCTTTCCACATATATCATGATCACCACTTTACCACGAATACCGTAAACAATATATGGTCGGAGGTTCATAGATGATGAATGTTCAATGTTTTGATTTTCGGTTACTGGTATAAGTACGGTACACTGACGAGTGACGAGGTGCGGATAAAGTCAGCTAACCTAACTATTTTACTCATAGACCAGCTCATCCTATGCCAGATACATTGATAGTCACGTGTCTATACATGGCAATATATTTTTGGAAATCAATCGAAAAAGTTATTTTCCCATAAATTTGATTTTTGGAGACACTGCATAATTTTTCTTTTGAAGGGTAATCTCTATATAGTCCATACATAATCTATAGGTACACGTACGAGTGTTGTACAACTATACATATATTATAGTGGTTTGTGTAGAGACTTACGTTTCACACGTGTACAGACTATCGTGATATTCTTCTTACTTGTAATATAATATATATATATATATGTTATTATATTATCATGTATCGAGACACGATTTTGTTCTATTTCTTTTTCACCCTTAAGCTTTGAGTTGAAGGCTCTCTGGAATATTTATTCGACCTTGGCCTATCCAAAAATGTGTGTGTATCTGAAACTGTCACGATTCAAAAAACAGTAAGAAAAAAGAATCAGAGAAGACGTGTCAGTTTTGAACGAGCATATTATATTATATACATATCAGGGGCGGCTATAAAAGTCGCCCGAGTCTCGATTTCAAAGTTGAACTCTCTTTGTTAGAAGTTGTTATGCATTTATTAGATACAGTTACAATAGTTACATACATATTTTGGATTAACCTGTTTGTGTGAAACAACATTTACTCATATGAACACCATAAAATCTGAATACCGACCTAGACTTTCTGATAATCGTGAGCATCATTTCAGTTTAGGAGTTTTTAAGGGTATATTTAACCACATATTTTTAATTTTTTGATGCATAAGTGCATGTTTTTAAATGCATATTTGATGATTTTTTACTGCATGAAAGTCCTTGCTCTAGTAATTAATATATTATTACCTATATCAGAGGCAGCTAATACTATTTAAGTGATGATAACAGTGAAAGGATATGTGAGGTTTAACATAGGTATAAACCTCAACCCAATACTAACCTCTGCGCACATACCTATCACGGTTAACTCATTCAT